GGGGTGGTAGCACCTGTTAGGGTCCCAGCTATGGGCAAATAGTTAAACCCCAAACTGGGGATCAAAATACTATGAAAGTGTAGGAATAGGTTTTAGTACCAGCAATACATTGTTGTAAAAAAAATTATTACCAGCAATAACAATTTTGTCTGCATTAAATAACCCATTGACGTTGATATGCCGTAAAATAGACCAATCCGAAACAAACAGATGAGACTTGAGAAAACAAATGTGACTCTACAGAAAAATTCTGAGAATACATTGAGCAAAGAGGAAGTTTTAGAAAAAATGGAAACGAAAACACCTAGACTTAACGCCAGAAAGAAATAATTGACACTTCTAGAGCACGTAATGAGGACTAGGGCTCGCAACATTTGACACTCACAGGGCATATTTAAAGGAAAAGGGACAAAAGAAAATGGTGCATAGCAGAACAGGGTTTAGGAGAAATAGCGAAAAATGCAAACTTTACTAAGAGCTAAAAAGTAGAGGAAATTGCCAACATCCTGGAGGGACATGATACATAAAAGAATTGTATAGCTGTTCAGCAAGTGTTCAAACACATTGATACTAACGTAAATCTAAATTCAGAAAAAAAGGGATCTTGTAACTGGGCCTGAATATGGTCCATTGGTTCCATATGTGAAATAAGCGAAGATTCCAATTACAAAATTGGCCTAAGCATATGTTTTCTTGTTGGTTTTCTTTATGGCTATTAATTTTACGCTCGAACGAGTTGACGCCAATATGCCATTATAAATGTAATTTGCGTACAGAAAATATTTGTGATTTTAAAATTAAATCAATTCGTTCGATTGCACGTTACTTTTCGTTTTACGTATTAATCTTTCGTGAATACGGTGACTGGACATCGCGTGTGTCAGGAGCTAAATTATGAAAGAATCACGTATGCAGGAACTGCTTCACGATCTCTGTGTTCAAAGGGAACATGATTTGGACAACGTATCAAGATTACTACACACACCATATTTGCTGACAATCTACAACATAAAGCTACAAGCCTGGGAATATCGATTGAAATTACAACTCTCTTCCTCTCTAACCTATCCCTCTCCCCTTCTTCTCCCTCCTTTATTTTCATCATACACTTGTGTTCAAAATATTTTGTAGAAGCCATAAAATTGTGCCGTCCTGAGTAAGATGATAAACTACATGCAACAGCAAAGCCTCTGATCAGGAGGTTTCGAGGAGCGTGGAACCACCTCTTAATTGCTGGTGTTCCCAGGTGCACTCTGACCTGGAGTGGTAGCACCTGTTAGGGTCCCAGCTATGGACAAATAGCTCCCAAACTGGGGACAAAACACTATGAAAGTGTAAGAATAGGTTTTAATACCAGAAATACATTTTTGCAAAAAATTTTACCAGCAATTAATTTTTGGAAAGAAAAATATTACCAGAAATATATTTTTGAAGAAAAAAAATATTACATGCAATAGATTTTTGGGAGAAATATTAGTAGCAATAAAATCTTATCGGTATCAACCCATTGACGTTGATATGCCGTAAACCAAACCAAATAAAATTGGGTCTAGAATTTTTAGACTTCGTCATTAAATAACCTATACAGATTGATATATTGCTAAACAAAATCAACCCTTTCTCTCGCTCTCTCTCATATATATATATATATATATATATATGGGGGGTGAAAGAGGATCACTCTCACTCTCAGGATGTCTGGACACAAGTACTAAACAGAATCTACCTCTTGCCTAAAAATAAAGAAATAATCTTTTGTTGGATCCCAAGCCATCTTGGGATACCGGGAAATGACAGGGTGGATTCGGAGGCAAAAAAAATCCATGAAGGTTGCAATAACAAACACGAAGGTTCCATACTCCGATTATAAGATGGTTGTAAAGAAAATTATCATTAAAAAATGGCAACATCATTGGAATACATTCATTAATAACAAAATCCAAAACATTAAACCCACTATTGGAGCTCAGAATATAAAAATAGGAGAGAACAGGTTGTGCTGACCTGCCTTCACATAGGCCACGTCTACATCACCCACCATTATTTACTAGAGGACATAGAATCCCCAATATGCACTACATGCCAAGAGAAACTTACAGCAAAACATATGCTGTTAGTGTGTGTAGATTTTGATCCAGTGCGAACAAAATATTACCAAGTGAGTAATTAAAAAAAAAAAAAAAACTTTTCACGAAAATAAAACCATCCAAGATGTAAATTTCCTAAAAGAAGTTGGATTGTACTAAAAAATATGAGTAATTGAAAAATGGTTCAAATATATATGTATACATACACACTTTTTTTTTTTTTTTTTTTTTTTTACCAAACTATGGCTATGAATCTATTTCAAAATTTTGTTGGCATTAAATGATCTACTGAGGTTGATATGCCATAAAACAAAATAACCAACCAATCAAGATGTCTGGAGTGTTATTGATCTACTGAGCTACCGGAAGAGATCAATTAATGTTTGCCATCTTCCTAACGCTGCCAAAGAACCTCGGTTCAAATTAATGCTAACTGTATCGCACAGTCCTCTTGATGAACCCCATGAATAAACTAATAAACTGGTTAATAAGCCGTTAAAAACTGATAATTTTGTTTCTTATGACTATAGCTCATAACAGATACTGAGCAAGGAGCTAAGGCATCTAAAATTGTCTCTAGAAACAAATGTTTTAAGGCCTCTGATCAGGAGGTTTTGAGGAGCGTTGAACCACCTCTTAATTGCTGATGTTCCCAGGTGCACTCTGACCTGGAGTGGTAGCACCAGTTAGGGCCCCAGCTATGGGCAAATAATTAACCCCCAAACTGGGGTCAACACATTATGAAAGCGTAAAAAATTTTTCAATACCAGAAATACTTTTTTGTAAAAAAAAATTACCAGCAATACATTTTTGTCGCCATTAAATAACCCATTGAGGTTGATATACCGTAAAACAAACCAAACCATAGCAATACGAACCAAACAAATGTTTTAGATGGATAATATCCACAGCCCGTCTGAAGTTATTATGCAAATCACATAAAGCTCAATAATTCTTTAAGAAAAAATAATGACGAAGTTTTAGAGAAAATGGATACAGAAAGAACACTTAGATTTATCAACAGCAAAAGATAATTGAAATTTTTAAGGCAGTCAACGAAGAATGAAGGACTGCAAAATTTGACACTCACAGTACATATTAAGGTAAAGTGGAAATCAGCGCTTAACCTACCTAATTAGCTTAATTAGCAGAACATTGATTAGGAGAGATAAAACACTTTATTAAAAGCTACAAAGTACAGTGAATTGGGGAGAGCCATGATCACTCGGGTCTTGAAGTGACGCGGCACACAGATATACAATTATTATGCAAATCACATAAATTTCAATTTCAAAGCAAATTAGTCAGAATTTGTATGAGAAAAATGTCAGATGTTAATCGATTAGTTTAGACATCAAAACAAAAGCTTGAATTCTATTTTTAGGTAATTCTCAGAACGTTAATAAAACATGTTGAAACTATTATTAAAACGGCAGTCTGAAGTTATTGTGCAGATTAAACTAAAATTATTTTAAGACATCTGAAATCTGATAAACTACTATGTCGGAAATTGAACCCGCAGAAGTAAAAAATCTTAACAAAATCAATGAATAATAGATTTCTGTTAGTTAAGGGTCACTATATTTCGGTGTAAATTCTTCTTATATATTACTTGCATTATTTACATTATTCTGACTGTTATCCTCATTTTCATTGCAATATGGGCACTGGTAAAAAAAATTAGTTGCTCAGACATTCGGTTTATAAGTCCTAAAAATTCTTGAACAGATGTCCTCAAGGACACGGTCCAGTGGATAAAGACGTTGGTTAAATCCAGGGACTAGACGTGAGTTGTGAATTCAATACCAAGCTGTGGTGAACAAAAATTGGAGAGTTTAGTTAAAGCGAAATAACTGACATCCGGAGAGGCATGGCACATGGAACTAGAAAAATCTACCCCCCGGTAGGCGAAATAAAAGGTTCGATTAGAAATTCCAATCAATAGAAGAAGTCCGGAGCGTACAACGGCGGAAACGTTGTGAATATGGCGTTGAAGATAAGTCTGAATAATACAAGTAATCATAAAACCTCATCTCGGAGGTATAGACGGATACTTATCATATATGTTTATATATATATATATATATATATGTTTGTTCTATTATAGATGTAGATTGATTTTATTACATTGTCATTGAAGTAAAAAGTGATTTTCTGGTTTTGCATAACTTCAGACTGCAGTTTAAAATAAATCCGATAAACCTTAATAAATATGCTGCAACTTAATTTAACTTAACCCATTAACTGCCAAATGTTTTTAATGCACATTACTTCTCCCTCTCCTTTTTCAATGCCGTCCTGGGTGAGACGATAAACTGTCCAACAGCAGGGCCTCTGGTCGGGAGGGTTTGAGAAGCGTGGAACCATCTCTTAATTTCTGGTGTTCCCAGGTCCACACTGAACCAGGGTGGTAGCACCTGTTAGGGTCCCAGCTATGGGCAAATAGTTGACCCCACAACCTGACTCAAAACACTATGAAAGTATAAAAACAGATTTTAATACCACAAATACTTTTCTTTTTTTTAAATTAGTATCAGCAATAAATATTTGAAAAAAGAGAATATTAATAAAAATCATGTCGGCATTAAATAACCCATTGAGGTTAATATGCCACAAAACAAAACAAACCAAACTACACATTTAAAAAAAAATATTACCAGCTAAACATTTTTGAAAAAAAAAGGGAAATTTTGTCGGCATTAAATAACCCATTGAGGTTGATATGCTGTAAAACAAACCAAACCTTTCTCAACGTCTTCCCGCTTGAAAGATTAGCTTTCCCTCTTTATAAAGGATGATGTGAGTAACAGTTTCTGTAGATTGACTGAACTGTTAACATTACTGTCGGTTGAACAGTGGACATGTCTCAGAGTAATTTTTGAGGAACTCGTAGCATTCTTTCTAGTATGGAAATACGGCTATATCAGGTTTAAACATCGGTTTTCATACGATCACCGTATTTAAGCAACATCGAGCCTGGTTACTACTTAGATGGGTGACCGCTTGGGAATACCAGCTGCTGTAATCGTCCGGCTGATATAATCGAGAAGGGCCCAGAATTTGAAATCGGAGAGCTGAGTTCTAATTCTAGTCAGGTTCGTTATACCGCAAATACCCTTTGGGAGAAAGGTATAGATCCAACTCATCTCTCCACAGTTATGGATTAATCAGTAGAATGCTTATCAATAAATTATTATCTCGAAAAAATTCTTACAATTTAACTATGTCTGGATTTTCATATAAATATAGTTGTTTAGGAATATTGTCATATATAGTGCAGAAAAGTGTTTGCATTTTACTTGGCCTTCAACAAGTTGGCATCTAAAACTTTCCTTAAATATAACAAGCCAATTTATGAAGGAAATGTTCATTTAAACTTTTTGTTTCAAAGATTTCAAGTAGTTGATATGTCTTACTTTGCGAGGCGATAGCAATTGGACGATGCCCGCTAGTGTTTCATGTGTTAACTTTGATTTTTCGCCTTTAATTCTGTGTCCTTATTTCGATATTCTACGATCTAACCTGCTAATATCAACACATTCCACGCCCCACTGCTCCGAATATCTTTTCAAGCTTCGCTGGTAAACGCAACAAAGACGACACGCGACGCGTGCAAAATCCTGCTCGAATAACGAATCGTTATCAGTCAGGGTTACTTACTCCTTTTTATTAAAAGCAGGTAGGAAGACGGATTTGAAAATATTTAAGTCGAAAGGGTGAATCGGTGGGAAGACGAATAAAATTATGTCTTATTCTTTTCTTTTTCTATTCTTGATACATTTAGATGCCTCTGAGAAATCCTAAGCTTTCTTTAATCACGAACTCTAAGACAGATTTTATTAATATCATGCAAAACATCCTTCACGTTGCTGAGCGAAATCGATAGCTTATAGTAGGCACCTATAGAACTGAACTGCCAAAATAGCTCGAGGGAAGGTGCCTTTTTTTTCTGAAGATCTGCAAAATTAATAATTTGCTCCTACTCTAAAGAACCATCCTGGGTATGACGATAAACTACGACCGACAGCAAGAGCTTTGATCAGGAGGCTTTGAGGAGCGTGGAACCACCTCTTAATTGCTGGTGTTCTCAGGTCCACCCTGACCCGGGGTGGTAGCACCTGTTAGGGTCCCAGCTATGGGCAAATATTTAACACCCAAACTGGGGTCAAAACACTATGAAAGTGTAAAAATAGGTTTTAGTACCAGCAATATGTTTTTGCAAAAGAAAAAATATTACCAGCAATACTTTTTCTGAAAAAGTATTACCAGCAATAAAAATCTTGTCGGAATTAAATAACCCATTGATGTTGATATGCCGTAAAACAAACTAAACCAATTGAGTCAGCCAAGGTTGATGCGTGAGAGGTTAGCCCTTTCCTACCTCAAGTAGCAACTCATCCCGAGAAGTGATACATTTAATGTGGTGGCATATTTTAGAGTTTCGGTAAGAAATCAGCATACACTGTTATGGTTCATGTAATCATAGCAATATATTCTAAGAAGCTTCTGACAACAGATACTGGTCTAATCGGAACTACCGTCCTGGCTATGACAATACACGACATCCGTGTCCTGGGTAAGACGATAAATTACGTCCAGCAGCAATGCCTCTGATCAGGAGGTTTTGAGGAGCGTAGAACCACCTCTTAATTGCTGGTGTTCCCAGGTCCACCCTGACTCATATGACTAGTGACTTACTCGTAGAAAATAATGGGAAAGTAAGTAGAAAATACTAAGTTGTGTTTGTGCGTGTGTCTTCGCTTTGTGTGACTTCGTTTTGTTTGTGTGTGTGTCTTCGCTTTTTTATCATAGCCCAATACAAGGTTCAAGAGCCACACATGATAGGCAGTTACTGAATGTAATTGAAGATAGTGACGATTATGGGGAGAAAGAGAACAGATAGCGACAGATCGTTAAATTGAAGAGAACAAAACATTGTAGCGACCAGGAAACCATCCACGCGAGAGTTTGTCCCACCGAGTCTCAGTTCTCGGGGGAAAGGCTGTCCCAGTGAAACTTCCTTCATACTGAGCAAATGTGTTGTAAATGTCTGAACTGCTGCAATGAAAGAGTGGACTTCATCTGAACAGTTTTATAATATTGTTTAAAGGAAATTATTTGAACTACTAATTTACAATTCACAATATTTTCTTGTGAGAATGATTAAACAAAATGCATTAATTTTAGGTGAACGCATCGCTGGTCCTTCCTAAGTATGTTGATAAGCTACATCCAACAGCAGGGCCTCTGATCAGGAGGTTTTGAGGGGCGTGGGACCACCTCGTAATTGCTGGTGTTCTCAGGTCCACCCTGATGCGGGGTGGTAGCACCTGTTAGGGTCCCGGATATGGACAAATAGTTAACCTCCAAGCTTGAGCCAAAACAATATGAAAGTGTAAAAATAGGTTTTAGTACAAGCAATACATTTTTGTAAAAGATGATTACCAGCAATAAATGTTTGAAGAAAAAAAATTACCAGGAATACATTTTTAGAAAAAAAAATTAACAGCATTAAATAATCCCTTGAGGTTGATAGACCGTAAAACAAATCAAACCAAACGCTCCTTTTTATTCAACTCTCATTGCGTCAACTTTTGGTTTATATTGGAACTATGCTGAGTGTCCCTTTGGTTTTAGACAAGAGCTCAAAACCTGGAGGGTTCAGTATTCAATGCCCTCAAACTCTTGATCCCTATGACTTGCCACTTCAGGCGAGTGAAGCCCCCAATGGCTTTAGAAGAGTTCCTTGTATCCAAAATCATTCACGCGTCTTCGATCAATCCGTGGTATGTTTTCCAAGCACTTCTCAACGATGAGGTCGTCTCCCAATGCTGATATTATCAAGAGGTCAGTGGTCTATATAATAAAATATAAGCTTACATTTATTTCTATAGTTTTTGCTTGAAACAGTCCTACATAAAGAAAAGACTTATTACAATTTATCTTTATGGAAAAGTCATTGTTATATAATTTATATTTATCTCAAAATTGTCAAATTAATAATGTTCAAAACAAAATGACAGCCGATGTCCAAAGCAACCTTCAGTCTTCAGTTAACTGGGGTAAAAGATGGCTTGTTAATTTTAACGCTCCCAAGCCTAAACTGCTTTCCATTAATCAACTGAAAGACCCTTCACTGCCTTCCATCAGTATGGCTGATGCTAACCTCTAGGAAAATGACTTGTTGCTCCTTATCAGCATAAAAGTTCTCAGCTGCCATAAAGTGGAAAGTCTATATTGAATCCATTGCTAGGTTCTACATATCTATAAGTTTACCATTTGTCCCTGCTTAGAATATTGCTCCCACATATGGTCCGGTGTTCCTGCTATTTATCTCGGGTTCCTTGATAAAAATCCAAAAAATAATCGGCAATATTATTGGTCCTGATCTGGTGTTTCGTCTTCAGTCACTTTTCCATCGCTGTAAGGTCCCCTTTCTTCACCTTTTCTATAAATAATTTCATGGCAATTGTTGGGATTAACTCTTCGCTATGGCACCTAGACTTTATGAATTTAAGCGTAGTACTAAACTGCCGTCGAGATTTCATCAATTTACAGTTGAGTTAGCATAGAACTTATGGTTACATCTAGCCAACAGTTACTTTTGTCGCACTTCTCGCTTGTGAAAATACATTCATGCTTTCCAGCTAAATTTAATATTCAAAAACTTTGATGGAATGTCAATCGTCATCTGTTATCTTCCTCATTCTTTTTGTTCTCATTCATTACTAATGTTTCTGTCTCTAATTCTTTCACATTCAGTAACCCCTTGTGTCTTGGTGGCGTTAAAAAAACACAAAATCTTTACAAAATTAAATATTTCGGCTTTAAATAACAAAGGGTTGATAAACCGTAAAACATATCAAGCAATTCTCCCTGAGAAATCGATATTGGTAATATTCAAACATGAACCTTATCGACGAAATCGCGTCGAAACGTTCTAAACTTATCTAGTGTCAATCCTACTCATTTTTCGTTTTTCTCTCCGCCTACATGAATAATCCCGTGCTGGTCACTGACAAAATCTTCGTTGTTTGGCCATCTGGTTAAGAAACGCGTTCTGGGATACTAGAATTAACCGAAAAAAATTGTGATAGTCAAGCTGAAAGGAAAGCCTTTCAACATAGCTATCATAATAGTGTATGCACCGACAGCGCAAAGTAAGGAAGAAGAAATCGAATCTTTCTACTTCATGCTAGACAATGCCAAAGCTCTCTGCAAATCACAAGAAGTCTAAAAGCCAAAGTAGGCAGGGAGGGGGCAGGAGATATAGCGGGAAAATTCGGAATAGTAACCGACAACGAACGTGGAGAAAAATGGATCCAATGGTGCACAGCCAATGACCACGTAATAGCCAATACATGTTGCCAAGAATATCAGAGACGATTATGGACATGGATTTGCCCAGGAGGAGAAAATTAAAAACTAAATTGTCTACATAACTAATCAACAAAATATTCGGGAATACAATGGTTCACTGCAAAACCTACTCAAGTGCCGACGGCGGAAGCGATCATCGCCCTGTTATGTGTAAACTAAGAGTGAAACTACGGAAACTGAAGAAGCATAATGCAGCACCGAAATTGCAATACAATTCCTGAGCTATCCTTAAATGAAGGAAAATTATATGGACAATGTGAAAAGAAGATACGAGGGACGTAAACTCGAAATGGGATGCATTAAGAGAGGCTTTAGTAACAACAACAAACGATATCATCCCAAAGGAGAATGGACGAAAAAGAAAAAAACGAATGGATGACTGAGGAGATTCTCGACATGATGTAAAGGAGACAGAAAACTCTTCCATGATATGGAAAGGAATACAGAAAATTACACAATGAAATAAAGACCAAATGCAGGCAGGCTAAAGAAGAGGGGCTAAACAAAAAATGTGCAGAAATGGAGACATTGAGTACCACCAACACAGGAGATATGCATAAATAAATAAGGCAACTAACAGGACAGAAGATATGCCCGTCAACAGGTTGCTTAAAATTAAAGGATAGGATGCTCATATTAAAGAAGG